GTGACTATCCACCGGCGGGGGACAGTTGGGAGCCTCGTGCCCATCCGATTGCTGATGTCCTTGATCTCGTCGAGCAGTACGACGAGACCCACCCGCTGCGTTCGAAGAAGGGCCTTCGGAAAGCGAACCCCCCGAACGTGAGTACAAGGTTTACAAAGTGCCAATCCCTTCGGCCATCTCGGGAGAGATGCGCACCCTCCAGTATGGATTATTAGGGATAAAGGCCTCGCTAGGGGCACGGTTCGAGTTGTCCAGGCAACCTGGACCCGAATCACCCCACGAGAAACAGGGTAATCCTGCCTCTATTGAAAGCCGGTGAAACTTGGATCACGCCCCGACTGGGTTGCGTTTCTCAAACCTGATGCGAGCTGCATCAATTTACTGAGCCAGGCCTCACGGCCAATTTGCTCGATGTTATGGAAGGAGGCATTACATTCTTGCACCAAGGCCTTACCGTCGCGGCCACGATTGCCAATATGCCACCGATGTTTGAATAATGCATCGGTGTAAAACATATCACGAATATTTTTCGTGCCGAAATGAGGAGGACAGATCATCCTACAGTCGAACAACGGGATTCTATCCCTTTCCTTGGTTATACAGGCCACCCGATTTAACTCTCTGAATGGTGGCATCCACCGAGAATCCACTTGAGGAACGTGGCGCAGGACATTTTGATCCCTGCCTCTTTTGTGGTGTCAGAATGAACACTGACACCAGTGGCAGCTCGATCCCTCGTGTTGCTTCTCTCGTGATGACCATAGGTACGTAACCATCATCACCACCACCACGCGTCCTATCGTCAAATGGACTTCGAGAGACGAAGATACGTCAGACGAATCTCTCGGTCCGGAGATCTCGGACATGATGCTGCCACGTTCCCCAGAGCGAGTCAACCTGGATCTTGTAGTGCCCGCCCCGGATGATCCGCTTTCGTGAGGTGTCGCCTTCGAGTCAAATGCATCATCCGACTCGCCAATATAGATGAGCTCTATTCCAGGATAATCTACATTGCGATTCTCAGCACCCGCTGCAGACGCAGCGGATGTATCTGTCGCACATAGTGAATCACCACATGGACTAGTCGCAATTGGCACTGCCTGTCGCTCACTTCCAACAGCAGTTGAACGATTAGTTGCTACTGATGCATGCCAAGTACCCTTTTCAGCTGCACTCATGCGTGCAGAAGACTTTTTGGCTGCTTCAGCAGCGCACTGCATAGATTTCGAAATCATGCGATTGAATTGGTAAATGAGTCGGATTTTACCGACAAGTGGTCCCTTCCCCAGAATGTTCATTCGGTGATCACCCTGTCTCCAATAACATCAATTAAACACCAGGGCGATGAAAGATTAAGGGGGGGTGTACCTTGGTAGACTGTTACGTGATATTGACACCAATCGATGTCAATATGAAGATTAATTAGCGTGACAATGACAAACTTTTACCGATATTACCTAAAATATATAATGTAAAGGGAATAGTATCCCTCAGGACAATTTATACGTGTCGCTCGAGTAAGATTGGTTGATATAATACATATGAACCAAGATAATTACCAATCGCTGCAAGATGCGCGCAATGGGTGCTGAGTAGGTTGTTTTTCATACGACAATGTAGATCAATATAGTTAGATAGAGATTAAATTTATATTGATAGCTTAACTATGTTAAATACAGTTCTCTTTTAACCTTTTACTCAAGCTAGTTGTTTGAGTATATTATTTTCCTCTGCAAGCACGGCTGCACGTGAAGTTTGCGGCACTCAAGCTAAGATGCTCCAGTTACACCATTAGCATTCAGTAGACCAAGTTCGTGATTGTAACGACGCTGTCCCAGGCTGAGGAACTGTCTCAATCCAAAAGAGGGGGGAAACTGACGTTCATTGAGAGTAACTTGCCGACGTACTACGACTACGTGCACGACGGTGACGATGCTTCAGGCAGTAATCTTTCCAGTGGGCGCCCGTTCATCGAGCCACATTAAATAATTATTTTCGCCCAAAAATCAGGTGTTTACATATTAAACTATAAACTCGATTGCTCGCCAAAAAATCGGGGCTCGAAGCCCTGGTCAATTTGGAAAAAGTATGAAGCTGTAAATTTCTGTATTGACTTTGTACAGTTCAATTAGGCGACGCGATCGCCCTATGGGCCTCCAGAATGTACTCATATGATCAGTTTTATTTTTGTGTGATTGGCGGCATCGGACTAAAGAACAAGCAGGTTTCGTACTCAGACCGCATAATTTGTGGTGGATGTGGAGGATCCGGACGCGAGGGCCGGAGACCCCCTCCCCGGGGAGACGCGCCCTGCCATTTTAGAGAGGGGCCATGGCCATGATGGTACACCTTCTTCATCGACTTCGCCTATAATAACTAATGGTGGCGGTCTCGCCTGTAAAATGGTTAGGCACATGGGTCTCCTAAAACGGAAGGATTGCACTCAAACAACTACTTACTTATTGAGAATTTTATGATGCAGACATCGCTGAGCTCCGAGGTTATAAACCTTAGTTTATTCCGCGACAATTCGGCAGCACTGAACACAGAACTCCGAGAGTCTAGTATCGGAACCGTGGTGCAATTTTCTGCAGGTGTATATGCACCACTTACGTCCAACGCGGAGCGGCTATCGTTAAGAAATTACGGTAATCAACTTTTAAGACTGTGGAAAGGACGTTACTTAATTCTTTCTTTCTACAGACTTGTATCGTATTAATATGGACACTTTACATATGAAAGACATCAGCCAAGATCTAGCCAACAATACGTATATGCTCAACATTATTCTACTGGGCTCAACAAATAAGGTTCGTTGATCCCGTTTGACGCTGCTGAAATCAATGGAAAAAGTTAAATCGAGGGTCCCAGCCTTCACGGAGAAATGACATTAAATTTGGACCTCAACCTCGCTACGAGCAATCCATTTTGATTCGTTTAAGTACTCATTAGCCAACACGACACGCCTGAAAAGCAAACTGTGGCCAAAGCTACAGGGAAGGGAGAAGTAAAGAGCTGCGTGAAGGTTCTGATGACGAAGGTATCATCATCCAAGGTTTGGCTGAAGGCACTTTTGTGGGTAGAACACTACCACTTTTTCTTAAGTCCATTTATACGTCCGAGGAATTGTGCGTCCTTTTCGCACCATTCGAGTTCAAGTATAAGGGGAGCTCAGCCGCCACCTGGGAGGAATATTCACATTGCCTCTCAGTCGGCAACACACACAACTAGTAAAGGACAACAACTTAGTTACTGCAGAAAGTACAAAGATCAGTCGACAGGATCTCGACGACTTCCTACGCGAATTGAAGAAAATCAGCTACAATTCTGTCATAAAGTCGATCCACCTCTTCTTCTTCGACCGCAACAAAGTAAACAGACACCATTTGACGCTCGTGCTTTCCGAAGCTTAGTATAATGCTTAGAGAACCGACATGATAAACTTAAGGGACCGCCGTGGGACCGCCAAACTGACATGGCGCACTCGGGCGCTACTCGACCGGCGGAATACGGGATTCGTATGTAAATGTCTCTAAATTCGCTGACGTCGAAAAAAATTACGTATCTTATCCAGCTAGGGACAGTGGCGCATCATCTAGAAGATGTGGACATTTGACACTAAACTCACGCACCTCGCAAGTATGGAAACTGACATTTCGGCTTCCCGATCGCCCTGCATGAAATCTTTTGGCTTGAATGGCTCGAGACAACAATTATAATTAAACATCCGGTGAAGGTAAACGTTTGCAGTGTTTCAAGTGTGATAAATAAGGACATACTGTGACCAGCTGGTGGTGTACAGCGGAATAATTTAGAGGTGAAGAATGCTTGGTCGCGACGAAACCATAGATCGTGGCGCTTGGACGAAATTGCCAAGCCTCATGCTTTAATGGCGGAAATGCGATCAGCAGCATATTCGCGACGACGGATGCAGCAAAAGACGGCGGCAGCAATCAATAGGAATATCCATACGCATCGCACGTTTGAGGATTGCGTTACAGACGGTGCATCCTACAGTGAACCGGTCGAACCTACTTCACCAGGGAACCCGGCACCACGAGTCGCTAAACCACCGACTATGGACGCAATTTCCCCGCCGCTAGAATTTGGCCAGAGGCAAATAATTCACGTTGCCTGTTAAGCGTAGCCATAACCAAAACAAAATCACATCGGGTGAGCACACAGTCATTTTTGATCGTGGCACCCCGACTTGCGGTCCTGGACGAAGATGATATAACAGTTGTCAGGCTTAAGGAGCCTGAAATTTCCCAGATAAAAAATTCCAGATGATGATTTAAAAGTATCCTCCAAAGAGAGATTTCTTTGTGCCAGGCCCCAACGGCAGAAGATCTAGCGCAGCTACGAATTTTGCGCAAAAAGTTACCGGCCATGCATGCGCGCCTCAATTAATTGTGTCGGAAGTGCATGATGCGCTGGTTTCGACTCCAGAGATTCGACCCATGATAGGGTATGTGTAGAATGTTTTTTATAATTCTATGCATTACAGTAGGTCGTACAGCAGCTAGATGTATGGATAGTTCTTACTTGTAGATTGACAAACCACTGATGAGGCCCCCGGCGGGGGGCCGGAACGCGTCTGGTGCGCGGTAATATACAAGTCGTCTACTTTACTTAACTCCTACTTTTAACAGGTAAACAGCCGCAAGGGTGTTGATGTAACTACTATCGCGAGACAAGCTCAAGCCATGACCATCAAGAGCTCCGAAGTCCTACTGAGAAGTGGAAACTGCTACCACTGGGAGTACAACATGCGAATGACACTAGCCCGAAAGGGGCTACTGGCGCATGTTAAGGTCGTGAAGCCCTAGCTCGAGATCACCGAGGCGTGGCTTATTAACGATGCAAAGGCTCTTGGGATCTTCGCTCAAGGTGTGGAACTGCAGCACCATACCAACATAAGGTCTGCGACACGTGCTATCCATGCATGGGCTACGCTACGAGACTTCTACAATCGCTCTACGCTTCAGAACCGTGTGAACATGACGCGCCGTCTTCACCAGTTCAAGATGGAGAGCGTTTTGACTATGACCGAGCATCTAGATGATTTCGACGAGCTTATCGTCGGATTGCAGACACTGGGAGAACCCGTCGATGAAGCTCGACAGCTGGTATTGCTTAAAAGCAGCCTTCCTTCTGAGTATGATATAGATTCAGCAATCGTGGAGAACGCCAAGGATGTGTCGCTCATCGAGGTGAAAGAGAAGCTGCTCAAGGAGTACGAGCGACTAGAAAAGAAGGACACCACCATAGAGAAAGCATTTCGAGCTAATGAGAATGCTGGAAGGATCAAAGGGGGCCGAGGACACGGTCGAAAGGGGATTTCTCTAATGAAGAATGGTCGTGGATACAAGGGCAAGTGCTTTGGGCGTGGCCAAGTTGTTCATATAAAGCGGGACTGTCCTGTGCAGAAAAGAGACAGTGGGAATGATGCTGTTTTTGCTGTGAGCGAGAAATGACTCGACGGTTGGCTGATTGACAGTGGAGCTACATCGCATATGACTCCGCATCGTTCCGACCTGTTCGACTACGAGATCCTGAACGATGGCATTAATGTAATGATTGCCGATGGCAAGAAATAACGCGTTCATGGAAAAGGAACAGTGAGGCTAACTGGTGTGAACAAATGACGAATAAAGATGATAAATGTATTGCACATTCCAGGACTTGACCGACGTCTATTATTAGTTGGGAAACTCGCTGAACACGGTCTAAGTGTCAACTTTAAGCGTTTATCGTGCATCATTTGGGACGACCGAGGTTCAATTGCTGTGGGAAAGAAGATGGGCAAAGCGTTCATGCTGAACTTTCAGTAGGAGGAAGCAAGATTTGTGCAGTACTCGGGAGCAGACAGTAAATGTGAGCTATGGCACGCTCGCTTGGTACACCCAAGTAAGGACGCACTGACCAAGACACAGCGTTACACTGAAGGAATTTCTGCGGTAAAGCAAGGTATCGAGACGCTATGCTGAGGCTGTATGAAAGGAAAAACGAACCGTAGCCTCTTTTCCATCAAGAACACTGTCAAAAACATCATTAGTATTGGAACTGGTCCATACCCATGTGATGGGACCAATGCGAGCACTTTCAAAAGGTGGTGCCAAGTATGTGCTTACAATCGTGGGCGATTGCTCGCGGTACGTTGCGGCGTATTTCATGAAGAACAAGAGTGAAGTTGCCGGTACGCTGAAAGAGTATCAATCGCTGTATGAAAATCAGTGGGGAAAGCGCATGAAGTGTCTAAGGTCAGACAATGGAATTGAGTTTGTGAACAACATCGTGGCTGAGATGTGCATGCGAAATAGAATCATGCATCAGCGATCTGTCCCGTAGAGCCCTCAATAAAATGGATAGGCTGAGCGTATGAATTGCACAATCATGGAGAAGGCTCGTCGCATGCTACACTACAAGGATGTTAGTATAGCATGATGGACAGAGGCTGAGAGCACAGCAGAATACTTGATCAACAGTTCCACTGATACATCATGCTCAAACTTGACTCCATTTCAGTCGGCCTACGATAAAAAGCCTCGTATAAACCATTTGCGCGTAATTGGGTCGCAGGGGTACGCCCACATTGAAGATGTGAAGCGAACAAAGCTCGATTCCAAGAGCTTTCGCTGTATGTTTCTAGGGCATGCTGAAAAAGTTAAGGGATATCGTCTCTATGACTTGGACAATATTAAGATCAAGACATCATGTTCTGTCAAGCTGAACGAGCGTGAGGTGGCCGGTATATACGACACGCGGTCGCCACAGCTTGGAACAATCGTCCGTGTGACCACTGAACATGATGATGAAAATATCTCACCTGTGGAGATAGAGCAATGAACGGACGAGCCCATGGAAGTCGATGAAGACCCTAGTATGGATGTGGAGATGGATTCGGTGGATGAGATGGAACATGAGCGGATGGGTAATTATCATCGACTCCGGTCATTAGGACCTACACCAGTTGGGCATGAACTGACTGAATATTCTACTCCGCAGCCAAATTTCGAGGAAGACCGGTTGGTGTTTAACCCTGAGACGACATTCTCAAGGCGATCCAGGGAGCCAGCATTGATACTCGAGGACGAGAAATATGATGACGAAGTACATCAGTCAGAATGGAGTGATGGACCACCATCACCAAAGCGTGCCAGAATCGACGATGAAGGGTTGCTGGCTGAGGCAGTATTAGCATATGCTGAAAATTTTGACGGCATTCCAGACACACCAAACACGTATGCAGAAGCCATTGCTAGTGGTGAAGCAGATGAACGGAGCAAGGCTTTTGATGCAGAGCTTCATTCTCATGCCCAAAATTACACGTGGACCCTCGTTCCACGTAAAACGAACATCCGTTCGATTGGGTGCCGTTGGGTTTTTTCTAAGAAGCGGGATGAGAGCGGTCAAGTTATTAGATACAAGGCTAGTCTAATGGATCAAGAGTTTAAGCAGAAGTTTGGGGTCGACTTCATCGAAACATACTTGCCGGTGGCCAACATGAACTCAATTCGAGTTGTGCTTGCTGTGTGTGCGGCACACGCCTACATGATGGAGCAGCTGGACGCTGATACAGCGTTTCTGACAGTACGTTGGTGGAACCTGTCTATATAGGTCCATGTGATGCGAAGAACGCTAAGGGCATGATATGCAAGCTGAAAATTCAGGATGAAGGAGCTGGGTGCAGCAAAGTTCATTTGGGTATGGAGAGCAATCACGACATAAACGCCGGTGCGCTCATGATAAGGCAAACTTGGTACAGAGACGACGTGGTAAAACGTTTTAACTAGCAGAACGCGAAGATAATTGAAAACCCATGCACTTCGAACCTGAAGTTGTCGAAATTTTTGTCGCCAACTACGAAAGAGGGACGTTCTGAAATGAGGTCAAAACCCCATCGCTCGTTGATCGGATGCCTGATGTATATCACGTCATGTACCCGACCAGACATCGCGTATGTGGTTACGCAATTGTCGCGTTTTCTCGAAAACCCTGGAGTTCAACACTGGAAAGCAGCCATTCGTGTGCTTCAATGCTTTAAGTGGACTCGCGAACATGGTATTGTGTACCGAGGAGGTTCCGGTAGCGTCACTGCTGAAGCATACACGGATGCTGATTGGGGCAGCAGCACTGATGACCGACGCTCAGTGTCAGGTGTCATGGTGATGATTGGAAAAGCTCCAGTGGTATTCAAGTCAAAATACTAGAGAACAGTTGCTCTCAGCTCAGCCGAAGCTGAATATATGGCGCTAAGCCTTTGCACTCAAGAAGTACTTTGGGTGCGGTCGATGCTTAAGGACATGGGTCAAGAGCAAAATGGAGGAACACTTGTCTGGGATGACAATCAAGGTGCCATTGCATTGGCATGTAATGCTGGGTATCACGCACGAACGAAGCACGTCGACAAACGTCACCACTTAATTCGCGAGAACGTGGAATGCAGATCGATTCAGGTGGATTACATAGAAACGAAGCATCAATTAGCGGATATGCTGACCAAGGGACTCGGTACGAAGACTCTTAAGCTCCTGCGTGAAGCAACTGGCATTAACGACAAATTTACCGTGCCAAAGCGGTGAATGGGAGTGTTATAGTAGCACCGCTCTTGCACGGTTTGTCATGGGTGTTTCATGGTGTTGGTTAAGGTAGAGGGTTATGGGTCGCGGTTACATGATGAGAACACAGGACGTCTTTGCCTTTGGGCTTGGACTTAGCTAAGGGTAGTGAACTAAGGACCTTAAATATATATACTTCGGAGTTTACATTTAACACCACAACCTTCATGTCAACAGCGGATTTAAACCCGAAGTATTTACCCCGTTGGTGAAGTCCCGAATCTTAAGATTCTCAAATGAACATCAGCACGGAATATGCTCTTGGCTCGCTTACGGAGGGAGCAATGGTATAAGGTCAAACAGAATCAGAGGAGATTAATACAGTGAAATTAAAATTACCTGTTTTGGCTAGAACGGTCCAGACTTTTTTGCTGCAATGTCAAGACGAGATAGGGAAACTTGCTAAAACTTTCACACAGGAGCACTAGACTTACTGATGGACGTACAACTGAAGCTTAATTTTGTGGATCTTGTATGAAAAGGATTGGAACCTAACAGAGTCTGTACCCGCTGCTGCAGAAATGCACCTCTCAGAATTACAAATTACGAGTATGGCAGCACCAGGATACCATTCCGAGAACGGGAGTAGACAAGTTTCATACAATCTCGAAATTATTTCGGTAAGCAACTGCAATCTTAGCAGTCAGCCTCGTCTATCAGTGAGAAACTCAGCTGAAATCCCGCCACAGCTACAGATGCCGGCATGGACCGGAGGCGCTTCAAGAATTTATGTAGAAACTTCATTGACCGGGCGTTGCTAGTGGCATAAGCCAAGCATCCCTCAATGGCGGGATATCCCGTGTGATCCTTTACCACTCAGTTAACAACATCCGCCGGGTTATCTACCGAGTTTAGGGGTGCTTCCGGACGTCAAACTGGAGTTGGTCCGTTTTCAACAGCGAAACACAAACGGGATTTTGTTGTCGCAGCACATCCAAGACTTTTTCCATGGTGTATTTCCACGGTGTAATACCTCAGCCATCAAGAACAAGCATGCCATTAAAGCATTACAACAAAAAACCTTTCTATTTCCATGGTGTAATAATCCAACCATTAATAACAAGCACGCCATCAGAGCGTTACAACAATAAACGTTTCTGCAAGCTGAACAGTTTTTATACCAAGCGCTGACGGACTTAGCTCAACGTCTTCGAAAGCGAGTTAACGAGGCCGACGGGGCGGAATACCCACTCCAACAGCTCCTGACACAGCTCTGGGCTTACAGACACTTTGACAGACTACTAGGTCTGGGTCTGCTATCGAATAGCTACCCATCAGTTAAACCTATGCTACCCGGAACAAGTACAAGAAATCATCATGCACTTGTTATTTGGCGTTTAGAGGTTAGCATAAAGGGAATAGTAATGTCACCTGGGTCCGTGAGGGAGCGACGAAGTGTTGGGCGTATATTATAGCTCATTGGACCCGGTTGGTATTTTATCAAACTCAAGCATTCGTAAACAACGCAGGAGTGCTGAGTCAAAAAGCACCAGACCTGCCTCCAGGCGTCAGAGCAGTAATTAGCCGCAAATTTCTGAACACGGCGGAGAAGATCGGCAGGGATGAAGTACGAATCTAATGGTTAGCGCGTTCTATCTGCTTCACCACCCTATGGGCACAGCGGAAACCTTGGGTGCAAAATCACGAGGTAACCGCTGATCATGCAAAATCTCAACTACGACGAACACTGCTTCAACAGTTACAATGAGTAGCGGTCAGGGAGCACCGATTTAACCGCTACGAGGAAGACGGTTTTTTTGTTCGGCTAGCGACAAAACTCTTCTTCACCCCGGTATATACGCGACGGTTTTGTCATTGTGACCCTGGACGGCACCTCACACCACCAGTGGTGTGTTCGAGCGGCTAGAGACTTTTTATTAATCTTTGAATCGTAAAGATAAGAAGAAGCCTGTCACTCACATTTACTTAAGTAATCATATTATCCTTGCAACATTTTTAAGCCATTAGCAAGCTTGCGGCACATAAAAGACCCGGCTCAAGAGTGACTTAATATATACCCATTTACACATGAAAAAGGGGCAGGCTGATCGCACTTAGAACTTGTAAGGTATACATAACCGCATTATTTACAGACACACACAAAGATAAGTACAATATTAAATGTTCGGTATTCACCTTACGCACAGTCACTAATAGCTTCACTCCTCGGCTCGCAATAAGATGATTAAAATATTTAATAAGACGCTGGTCAACCATCGTATTGAACCTCTGATTAAATCTCTATTTAAGTAGTATCCCTAGGTACTTAAATAAGTGAAAATAGTATAAAATCAAAAAATTTAAACGATACACCAGGAACTTTCGCATACCCAATTCTTGCAACTATTGTGAGAGACACTCCCCTCCTTCTACATACCAGATCGATACCTGCGAGCCACGCATGGCACACACTCGTTTTCTGGAAACAAAACGTCCCGATTTACACGGTAGCCGTTTCGTCGATATTTTTCGCATTGTCCTTAGCCTGTTTACACAGACTTTTAAAGAGCTCAGCTCTGATCTGAGACAGAATCTGGAGGGTAAGACCAGTGCGGGGAGATGATCACAGCTACGGTGCGTTTATGCAAATACACCCGTAATTGCACATACTTTAGCGAGCCTTTGAGTGCTCAAGAGCACATCGCAAATTTCTTGTCCTGATCGGCAGGTTTATGCAGTCTCCCAATCTTAGCGCTGTTAGCTAAAGTCGAATGACAAACACCACATGTTTGTTATAACGTTTTCACCAATGCGTCCGAAATAAAGAGCTAGTACAGTTGAAGTATGGAGATGTAACTAGCGAACACCCCTTTCCTAGTCAACGCCCCAGCTATAACTAGTAGTGGCATTTACGTTTACTTATATCCTTCGCTAAATCCTTCGAAAATAAATTAAATTCGAATTTTTTTGTAGGATTTGGAGCAGGACATTGCAGAGCTCACTTCTCGGATGGTAAAGCTACTGACGAGGCCCCAGGCGGGGGGGGGCAAAATACGTTCAGCCCGCGTATCAGTACGGAAGTCATTTATTAAATATCTTTATTACCTGCTTGTACACTTTTCGGGCGCTCACGGCGATTGCAAGCACAAAGAGGTGGTAGTGCCGACATCATCTAAAAATTGTTATTTTTATGGGATTTGGAGTTGGAATCAGCTTCATTAGATCAAAAGGAGGCTAAACGTGTACCTAACAAGGCTTTATTGGTGCGTAATAAAAATCGTTGGACAAATAATTTCCGTAGAAGGTGAAGTCCGCGTAAATACCTTTTGTTACTAAAATTATAGTTGGTGTAGAGATACTAAAGCATCCAAAAATAGTTTAAAATAAATGCTTTTATATTATTTCGGCGAGCTGCTCACGTGTATTTTTTTTTCACTTATTAATAGAATTATAAAATGGGCGCCTACATCCACGGCAAACCACTCCTATTGTTTTTAAATGGTTGCGATGAGCAATTCGTGGATGGGCGTGGGTGGACACGACGTCGCAAGCTTAAATATATTCAGCAGTATGATTTAAAGTAACTTAATCAACTACGGCGTTAGAGGCTTATTTAAATAATGTAAATCTGATGAACATCTGAGCAAAGAAATTTAAGTTAATGTGGGTGGGCGGCCTGGATCTAAATAAGAAATGTGTGGGCGCGGGTAGGCAGATGCCGCCCTCACAAAAAGGGATCAACCCTCTGGGTGAGGTCGGTAAGCGCCAATTTTAATTCTGCTAGTTAGTCATATAAGCGTATCTACAACAATGTAATAAACGCGTGAAGCGTAAAATCTAATACTTCTAACATTTTGTGAATAAAAAGAAAATGAGAGATATAACAAAAGCAAACAGAATTTTCTTTCAATTGACGATGCAATTTGTAAGCGTATTTATTCTCTCACCTAACCCATTTCGAGATAGGAGAGTAGGACATAAGCATCGTTCTTTAGTTTAAGTAAGTCAGGATGAGGAACTGGGCAAAATTAACTGATTACAGTTCTCTTATAGTGTGTAGCAGCAACTAGAAAATGACTCGTGTTTTTTGTATTTTATCGATAAAGTGCTGTCAGATTGTGTTCATAAAGATATTCGTTAACGTTGAAAAATTTGACTACCGACAATAATAAAAAAGGAATAGAGATGATCCTAATTGCGAACTCCTTAAACAGCGAAGTGTAGCTTAAACATAAATTTAAGGGAAAAGATTAGTAGCCGCACGTTCTAGTATACTTCAGCTAATGTAGTACACGCATAACGACAATGTGCTTCGATGAAGGAACTGAACTGTTACGATTATTTTTCTCAGGTAATATGCTGATACGTCTGACCTAATGTCACGGTTGATTTTGATTGCGGCCACACAAAAAAGTCACCGCGAAAGAGTGGACTTATGGTATTCTCGCGTGTCAAAGCTGTAACACATTAATACATATCTGCAAAGAGGGAAAGGCTGCAAATTAGGCGCCATAGATAGCAGTTAGGTCGAATAGAGCGATTGTGCAGGCCCTTGATCATTGAGAAGCGTCATTAATTGCTATCAATTTACTTTATATTTATTCGTATAGTAGTTCTGTAGCACACCGCAACAAAACAGCACGTGTGGCAACATACATTAAGATACGAAGGCCACATGCAATGTGCCGACAGATACGGACCTACAAATAATAAATGATATTATTGAAGTCCGTACCGTACGTATCATTGTAAGGTGTACATGTTCCTTTAGGCTATGCAAATACTCTGGAGTGAGTTAACACTTGACCAAGTCAATGGTTTGTGTGTCCATTAACTCCTAATCTCTTAGCGTCCAGCGTATAGTTCTTGGATAATGTAGTCATTATCAAAATCAATGAATTTCTGCAATGCACTGAATTTTTTGAAAAGCACTAATACCGATCTCATATTGCTTTGCGGTACACATCCATATCGGACTCAGCCTTGTGCACGCGGCAAATTCAGAAGACAATATCTTATCTAACTATAAGTAAATGACATGTCAGATTCACACATGTACAAAATAGATCGTAAAGGCTCGGAAGAAATCGATGAAGTAACGTTTTTGGTGCAATAGTAAGGAACAAAGACAAAAGACCATGCTAAGGCATCATCACACTTTTTCCTGCTTCAAGTCGTCTACAGTAAAAGAAGGCTGGAATATTTTAAATTATTTATCAAGAGTAAACAGATGTAAAGATTGATTTTATAGCCTATAGAAATGATTACAAATGCGAAAGAAATTAATCTGGTTAGCAAAAAGCGAAATTCTTTCCCACAACTATAACAACAATAGCAGCAGCAACAGCAACAACAACAACAGGAGCTTAACACAAACTAACAAAAACGACATGAATAACTTGCAACAATAACAATATCGATTTCAGCAACAGCGGTAGCAGCAACAATGACATTAATAATAGAACAGCAGCATAGGCTACAACACCTAACAACAAGTACAAAAGTACCTATGTTAAAAATAGTAATGTCAAATATAACAATAGCATAAGAGGAACGATATCAAAAGCGATGACATCACAAACGACAATATCAGCACTGACTGCCAATGGTTTCGATCACAAACGACGTAATTAAGATACATTGCGTCTTCTTTGTACCATCTGCAACCACAATGCGTGGCTGCAAGAGCAGCACGCCTGCGGTGGAGCCCACTTCGCGACACCCCCTACAGAGCAGAGTCTGAGTTTGGCCGTAACAGTGAATTCAAGAAATGAAAGAAACATGAATATGAACGTATACCACGCAAAATTGAGTTAATGGTACATAGGCAATTTGTAATTTTTCGGTTAACTGGGACGCTTCTATTTTCCCTTTATGTGTGCATCAATTAGGATCTTTTTCAGTTGTAGTGCTAGGATTCAAAGTTTAGACGTCTTCGGTACAGCATACATTTTTGTAACGACTAGCGAAATCCCATTCTAGCCCTCCTTGACTAAATTTGAGCTTAACTAAGAGGATAGAGCGACGACCACTATTAGACCAGACTCATCGGCGCTTGATCTGCGACTTACACGGGATACCGAAATGTTCATAAGGAGTGAAAAGTCACGAATCTAATTTAAAGAGGGCACCAGTATTTCGAGAAAAGTGAAATATTTTGTCCAAGGGGATTTTACGTTATAAGTTAGTTAGGGTTGTCATCCTGTTAGTCCCGAATTTGATACTGATTGTAAACACGCTTCGACTTTGCGCCATCCAAAATAGCACTGTAGATGGTAGACATTAAGTCAAAAATAGAAATGGAACAAGTGTAATAAAACTACACAGGATAATGTGCTGAAGATGTAGTCTTATTCCAGGATATCAATAACCGACCAACAGTATTTAAGTTCATGCTAAAGCACATTCAGATTAACCATTTTTAATAGTGAATGCATAATTTTTGTTTCAGCAGGAGTAAACCATTGCTTAATTTAATTAGTCATTTGTTGTGTACACTCTATTTTTCCAGGCGATTGATATGAGATCGAGCTAAAATGAAGAATGCACAGACTCCCTTCTCTTAACAAGGTAAATCGTCTTAATTCTAATAAGTTTTAGGCTATTCAGACCTTGGAGAGGCTAGGCTCGAAAATCCCGATAACTGTGTGGTCACGGACTATGTCCACAGTTTGTAAATTAAATTAAAGAACTTTCCAAGATCATGGGAAAATCCTAAATAACGTACGCAAGTTTGTGCAGAAGTTGAATATGCACATTTTCGCACAAATAATGTGTACGGGATAGCTTCTCCTGTACAACTGCCGTATGCTGGAATTGCGCAGGCCTGGATATGGTCGATATAATAGTGCAGCTTACATAGCTAGCATAAAGAAGGATCTTCAGCAAAACGTAGTAAGACATCCTATGTAACGGGACTAGACAACTTGTACTTAGCTTAAACTATTCTACGCTTTGAGGAAGCATCAAAGCCCAAGTCTTAGGTATTAAGTCCTTTTGACTCTGTTTTTATATTTTGTCTTTTTATCATCCTAAGTACGAATGGTTCTCTTGGACTCATGAGAACCACTCGTTCTACGTGCCTATATCTTACTGTCTAATAATGGTAATGAGCCCATTATACCAGCTAAAATATACGACGTGCTACTTTCGCTACTTCAAAGTAACACCCATACTTACGTAACATGTAAGCTTAATCGAAACTACTTATGTAACGGGGTGGCCCATTACATCACCCTCTTCTCAAAACAGCACTCACGAACCGTGAGTGCTCAACCACAAGACCCAACGGACGCACAAGCCAAGCGATGACTGAAGAAGCAAACGCCAACACCACAGCACTCCCGCGCACTGTCAGCGGGAGTTCGATTAACCACGTGATGGATCAGCACCTGATCCCTTGGGCGCTATACGACTTGTCCGGAGCTCGACCTCCGGACTCACTTGAGACGATGCAGGATTACTTCCGGCGTTTCCGTGGATTGCGTGGGAAGATTCTTGATGGTTTTTTGTACAAGTCACTCCAGCGGTCTTGGTGTGCATTGATCCGGATGTGGAACCGAATGCTTGAAGACGAAATTTTTTCAGCAGTGGCTTGCCAACCGCGAAGATATCCACGCCGATCACTCAATTGGTGTACTGCGCGACAATATATGCGAGAAGGCGTGGGACGTAGATCGACTCTGCTACGTTCACGTGCACGCATCTTGTTACTCTTGTGACTCGATGGCTTGTCCAACTCGCAAAACTTGGCAACGACGCGTTGTTGAGTATCCACTCAGCGAATATAAACAGCTCTGGATCGGACGGTATGAGCGCAGCTTGCTGGAGCGCAAAACCGAGGTTCATCGTGGCGTGTTACGCTGGCGACACCACTCGCGTTCTCGGGGTCATGGTGCCACGCGCTCGCCACATCGTTCTCGTTTGCGTGGTCTTGGCGATACACGTTCAACACGACGTTCTCGTCGTCTTTCTCTATCTCGTCGTCGCAGTAACGTTTCACCACGACGTTCTCGCAATCGCTCTTGGTCTCGTAGTCGTGGTGACGCTTCACCACGACACAGTCGTCGTTCGTCTCGTTCTCGCTCACCGTGAGAACACTCAATTCGTCGACCGAATCTGGACCAAGCGTATGCACGGACTCATAAGCCCGAACGACTTCTGGAATGTCTCGAAGAAGCGAAGAGCACGGCTCCCACGTATCCCGATCGGGTGGAAACCCGAGCCAACGTACACGATACTTGCGTGCGGTTGAAACCGTGCGCTCATGGAGTCGCGACGAGGGCCTCGTGACCCAATAAGCGTTCCACGATCCAGCGCTGCTGACCTTCCGCGTCCACAAGCGGTGGTGGGCCCTCGCGATGGTACCGCTGGCGTCCTGGTTGCTTAAGAAGATGTAGGAGCGGTTCTGAACAAGGCTGTCGATGCCCAGCTGGAAGCTGAAGCTGCCCTTGATCAAGCTGCGCGGGCTGAGAAAACAGCGAGCGAGATTCGACAGTCGAACCGCGAGCTGCTTAAACGGATGCGGAACCTGGAACGCCAGGTTTTTGGGCACGCGCAGGCTTGGACGCAGCCGCGTCCGATGTCGCTGGCACGTCGAGCAAGTCGAGAGGGAAAGTCGACCTATGAGCCTTTGACTCTGAGGACGAAGCCAACCCGTGAAGCGTATCTGGACGATACTCCTTGGGCCGCCCAACGTAAAACGTCGGGTGAAGTCGCAGTGACGAAGGGGGTGTACAGCGTGTATGCGTCGCCGATCGCCTTGAGTACCGTAAGTGGTCCGATGGAACGTACGCGAGTTTGCTCGCGCCTAGATTGGTTACTGCTGAATCTGGTAGGCCTTCAGTAGATAACAATACACGATCACCCTTCATGAATGTACTTGTGTTCTTTCTGCCACGTTTGTCTGCATTCGCTTTCTGTTTTTATCCACTGCAGATCGAAGAGTATCGCGTACAAACCTCGTGATGGCTTGACGTTGGAGTATAAACTCTGACACAGCCATGTCATCAAATGGTCGCGCCGATTCAATCGGCGCGTAGTTGGCTTGAGGTCTTCGCATACCCGAAGAAGGGTCAATCAGCGTCTGTGCAGTCCATGGAGCTAGCGGGGACGCCACGTCACGTGGCGTCAAAACAAAAGGCTTCACCTTAGATTGGGTGACAACAATCGCGCTCAGAATACCGCGAGATGCACTCGATCGTTGTTTACCACTATCACCCCCCACCAGAGTGTAGCCACGAAGAGCCGTGGGTTGACCCACGGCAAGAAGAGTAAGTACACGAGGATGACGGGCCAAATTTGCAAAAAATGGCGTCAACCCCGTTGACGCGTGAACCGCGTTGTTGAGTGCAAACTCCGCGAGTGGCGAAAATTCACTCCAACTCGTAAAGGAAGTTGCGTAACTTCGAAGAACATCTTCGAGGACCCAATTAATTCTCTCTGTTTGCCCATCCGTTTCCGGATGGGCTGCTGTCGACATTTGCAGCTTTGTGCCAAGGAACTCGAACAATGACGTCCAAAAAGCAGATGTAAAACGAGGATCACGGTCCGAGACAATGTTGTCTGGTAGACCGTGATGGCGAAACACAGTGTCAATGAATTGCACCGCGGTCTCAGCCGCGGTGATCGTTGCATGAACAGGCACCAGATGTGTCATTTTGCTGAATCTGTCCACAAAGACCAGAATACCCGTTCGGTCTTGGCCATCGGGTGCAAGCCCGAAGATAAAGTCCATAGAAACTGAGCGCCAAGCCTCAGCTGCAATTGGCAGGGGTCGCAGGGGTGCCTGCGACGATGGAGATGGCTTCACGCGCTGACATATTTCGCAGGTGCGAACCCAGTTGCGAACCCACTTGTACATGTGGGGCCAGAAGAAGTCACGTGAGACAGCCGCGAATGTCTTTTCGCGGCCCAGATGACCGCCAATTGGGGCATCATGGTACTCGTGGATGATACGAGCACGCAGATCCAAGTCATTCGCAATCACCGTTCGAGGTGCATCGAATTTATTGATGCTGTATAACAGCAAATCACCATCCATACTGTATCGTTGAATGTGTTCACGCTTCGTTCGCGAAAGATCTCCCAGTGCAGCATCACTGGGAGCGCGCAGATAGGTAGTTATGTCCGCGTAATCTGGATCGTTCGCGTAAGCCGCAACAATTTCATCGAAAAGGCATAACTCAGGTGTGACGAGTTAGATTCAACGACACACGCGTCACACATCGATCGTCTGCATCGTCGTCTTCAGTTGCCTGACGAATCAGTGCCATACGAGGATAATCTGGACGTCGTAACAGTGCGTCAGCAAGAATGTTAGTCTTGCCTGGCTTGTAGTGCACGACGAGGTTGTACTCGGAGAAGAAAGAGAGCCACCGCGCCATCCGCTATGGCAGGTTTGGGCTCTGCATCGCTGTACGTAGCGATGCGTGATCAGTATACAGGGCGAACGTGCGTTCGCCCAGTAGGTGGATACGAAACTTGATGAGTGTGTACAGCATAGCTAATAGCTCCTTATCGTGGACTGGATATTTCGTCTCTTCCGGCTTCATCTGTCGTGATTGGTAACTTAAACTCTTTCACGGCTCTCATTATCACACTGCATGAGGGCGCAACCACTTGAAAAAGTCACTTGCATCACATACCACGTGAAACGGCTTGGTGTCGTCAGGGAGTACCAACACTGGCGCTGAAGCCTTGTTTTTACTCACTGATTCAAAGGCCGCTTGATGTTCGGGACGCCGCGACCACGTAGCGTCTTTCTTCAGAATTGACGACAAAGGCTGTATAGAACCGGCGTAATCCTTTGTGTACTTATGCAAGTAATTAGCTAGACCGAGCCATTGACGCAACTCCGTAGGATTCTTGGGTGTGGACCAAGAATAGATAGACGACACCTTCTCTGGATCGGCTCGAACTCCTGATTTTCTCACGTAGCAACCCAGCTTCGGAATCTCCGGTGCACAGAATACACATTTCTTCAAGTTTGCATATAACTTGTTATCCCGCATGACTTGAAACACCTGCTTCAGGTGTTAAAGGTGAACTTGTACGGCGCTGAGCTTACCCTCAGCGCTACTGTGGACAAAAATGTCACCGAATTAGCTAGGAGCAAAGTCTCGAAGCGGTCTCAGCACTCGAGACACCATGCGATTGAAATTGGCAGGTGCGTTCTTCAATCCTCGTGGCATCACCAGCTACTCCCATAGCATATAACTCGGAGTACTTACCGCAGTGAGTGGTATGTCACTCCGTCGCATCAAGATCTGGTAGAAGCCATCGTTCAAATCGATGGCGCTGGAGCTGATGCTTTCTGACATGGAGTTGAGAACCATGTCTTTTCTGGGGATAGACGTTTGGGCAGGAATAGTGGCATCATTTAGCTTGTCAAACACATGCACTATCCGCCATCCTCCCGTAGCCGTCTTCACAGAGAATGTCGGGCTCGAGTGTGATGAGATACTCTCACGCACGTAGCACGCCTTACGACGACCTTCAAAAAATGTAATGATGGCCTCGACCTGGTCTCGAGGCAACGGCACTGCCGGGTCACACAGTACTTTGACCCTGGCACTATATCAATCTCGTGCCGCACGCCACGATCGGCAGAATTTTCAGCCGGTATTTTTTCCGGGAAGACGTCTGCGTGCTATCGAGCAATCTCGTAGACAGGGTTACCGGACTCACGCAGAGCCTCCTATGAATGCGATAAAAATCTTTCTTCTCGCGCTAAATTTGGTTCAGCGCTTCGAGTGCGCGTCATTTGCTCCTCATTTAGCTCAGGAATTACCTCGTTGGTGACCAGGCTAACCTGTTTCACCGTGCCTCCCTTTAAACCGCGTAGGAAATGCTTACAGGAGAACCCTGAAGCCTCGTAATCGAAGACGCGTCGTGAGGTGGGCTCGCGAATTCAATGTATTGGCGACTTTGCGGACTCCCGTCCACGTACACAACAGCATGGACGCATTCCAAAGCTATTTTTTCGATGCTTGCGTCCTCATCGTGCTTCGAGTTCATGGTCGAAGCTGGCGATCCGCAGCTAATGACAATCCGTCACCCCCCTCTAGACACTGGATGTCCTCATCCAGGATGTCAAAATCGCGTGACGGGAGTAACTCATACTCGTCCGTCGACGCTTGAAGCGGGAGCCCCTGCTCGACCGCTGTAACCCCGTGTGGGAGCCCCTGCTCTACCACAAATTGGCCATGTGGGATCCAGTTCAACCACAGTGGTGATGATGAGAACCCCTGTTCGGCCATCATGTTCTGACGTGGGGACTCATGTCCGTCCACGTCACACTAGGTGACGAGCTCTTGCTCGTCCTCATCTTGGTTGTGGGAGTCTCTGCTCAACCACAATAGATGCAGGTGGGAACCCCGGTTCGACCACTGCAGTCTAGTGCAAACAATCTTTTCTAACGCGTCTTCCTCGTGCGGGAGGTAGTGTTCGCATGCGTCGTCCTTGTGCGGGACCCACTGCTCGTCTACGTTATACTCCTCGCTGCGAAGCAAGGAGACACCGTCGTTTGCTTTCAATAGAACGGCACAAGCGGTGCATAGAAGGCCATCGCTCGCTCTGTGCACCGACGGTGTGGTAGAATCACGATCCACAACTACGATGTTTAACCAATTACTTGAGGACACCAAAAGATGGGTAAACACTTTGCTGACATCGAGCTTGCGTCGACATCTTACCTATATTTGCCAATCAGTCAATCTGGGGCTTGCTAACCATGGCATGCTCAGGATGCAATCGAATGCATAATTCATCTCATTCACTAAAAAATTGTCGTTGCTGCGAAAGCCGTCTAACAGATACGGAAGCGACACTTCGCGCCGCGATACGCGGCGTGATTTTTTGTCCGCGAGCTTGACGACAACTTTCGCCAGGCCCCTTGCGGACCTGGATGCTGGGTGGCATCAACGACACAAAATTCACGGAAGAAATTGTTTGTCGCCCCTGAAACCAGGAGCGCTCGTAGAGGTCGCCACACACCGGCGACGTGCAGACTGAGGATGATTAGGCATGAATCGCTACTCGTAGTGGTGGCATTGAATCGTGCACGCAGCACAAATGGGCTGGGAGGTCGGGCTGCCACCGGTGGACCCGGACATCCCTCCAAACCAGTAGGGCTCCCTGCACCTACTGGTCTCGTCCTTTTTTTTGACAATTGGGCGGATCACCTCCCTCTTGATGGGTTTCTGTCGCATTCACCGACATTGGTGCTGGTGCGCGGCATTCAGCCGCGCGATGACTCGACTTTCGACATCGAAAGCTGATCATATGACGTCTGCTACGGACGTCGCTCTTGTAGAACGTAACACGTCGTCGGTCACCCGACGCCTCATATATATCAATCTCTATGGGTTCCATACCCGCTGATCTGACAGCATTAACAATTAAAGGCTTGGTTCAGGCCTTGGTAACTCTTAAGTCCTCATCCATGGCGATAGCGAAAGCCTTCTCCAACGTGGCAGGATCCTCGCGTTCCAGCAATAGACGAGTCTGCCCTTCACGCATGCCATCGACAAACACGTTCTTTTGTGTGTACATGTCCATGGGATGCGTGACAATGCACGATGCCAGATGTCGAGCCATCTGCACGTAGTCGCGCCTGGACATCTTACCCTGTCGCAAGGACAGGAACCCTGAACGCAATAACTTCTCTTCCTGTGGCGGCTCGAAGGCGAGTCGAAGGTCACTCTGGATTACTTCCAGAGTGAAGAACGCATACTCGTTTACAACGTATTTACCCAAGGCCCACTCCTTGGCTTTCCCAGTGAGACGGGAAATGAGGGAGTTGACCTTCGTTTGAAAAGCCTCGAGAAGTCTCGAGGCGACAGCGATGTCAACCTCTCGAAATCAACGCGACAACGACAAGCGTTCTTTTCCTTTGCCAGAGTAGACGGAGGCCTCCATCTTCCCGGCATCGTTCCGTGAAGTTCGCGAGGAATTCAAACCTCGCCGATTGGATTCGGCGAGCTCGCGAGCCATGTAGTCGTGTATGGCGAGACGCTGTCCATCAGGAGTCACTAATTTCATCAGCAACACAACGAATGCCTCTCCAGATATCGCCACGAGGCGATTTAGGGCATCCCACTCAACACCAGTGAGATGGAAAAAGTCGCGCGCTCCAGACTCACGTCTGGAGCGTCAAAGTACGACAAATCGCTACGTGATTCTGGATTTTCTTGGGATTTACGAAAAACAAAACCTTATGAAATTTATAATGATATGGAATTTGACATTCCTATAGGTACGAATGGTGATTGCTATGATCGTTAATAAACTAGAATTAAAGAAATGCGTCAATCACTTCGAATTATTTTTCAAGTACTTAATAAAATACCAAACTCGGGCATGGGGGAAGGACTACTTAGTGCTATCAGGTGTAAACGGGCTCGAACAACCCGTACTTAGCTTACACTATTCTACGCTTTGAGGAAGCCTCAAAGCCCAAGTCTTAGGTATTAAGCACTTTTAACTCTGTTAAATATTTTGTCTTTCTATCATCCTAAGTACGAATGGTTCTCTTGGACTCATGAGAACCACTCAATCTACGTGCCTATATCTTACTGGCTAATAAATGTACTGAGCCCACTAAGCTAGCTAAAACATACGACGTGCTACTTTCGCTACTTCGAAAGTAACACCCCTACTTACGTAACATGTAACTTAATCGAAACTACTTATGTAACGGGGTGGCCCATTACATCCTAGTAGTCAGGCATTGACAAAGTAGTCGCAGTAAATTTGTCACAAACATCTATCGACTGGATTCCCCGCACGTCAGTTTCAATGAGATCACGCCAAGAGAACAGTAACTATATGCTGCAAAGAGAACTGTTAAAGCGCTAAGGTCAAGCGCCTTCAGGAATATCTGGCTGGCTCATGTTATTATAATTGTATACATCTTTTACATACCTTAACGGATCTAGTTCGAGTATGCTGATCCTTGCAACAGCATTGGTAGTTATAAAAAGGTTCTGTTTTGTGCGTCTGGCATTGGTAGTTATAAAAAGGTTCTGTTTTGTGCGTCTGGAACCCGTTTATCTTGTCAGAAAGATCATTTCAGTCAAACGGTTGGACTTCAAGTACGAAACAAACAAAGTTCGACTGTAATTACTGCATGTGTTCGGTCGGACTGCGCCCCATCCATTACAATTTCTATTATACACTTTTAGCGTTGAGTAGATTGGAGATTACGTTTGGAAACTAACTGATCTTGGAAAATTTATAATGGCAAGATCCCACCGGTCGTTTTGTCTGACGCAAAAATAGACATTCTACTGCAACCGCTCATTTTTCGAGCTCACATCATCTTCTTTGCGTTTGGCACATCAAAAAGAATATGCTTTCTCAGCCTAAAATGCACATAGAGGATGGTGATTGCCACACACATAGTTCATGAAGTCATGAGCACACGTTTGCCGCCCCTTAACATTTGTGGATTTAAAGGCAAAAAGACGGAATTATATACCGAAAAATGGCTGTCATGCCATCGCTTGCACAGTATCTAAACTGAAGATGGATCCATTATAAGAGAAAGTTTGTAGCACCTTGAACCAAATGATTGTTATCATCTTCACAACACGTCAACATCTTCCGTTGAAGGTGCACATGCAGCCTCAATAAGATACCTACAAGTTAGCACATGATACTTATATGAAGTGCAAAAACGATTTGAACATTGACTGGAACTTCAGAAAAATGAATATTGCGCTTCTCAAGCTAGTCGGTCAGAAGTAATCGATTCCCCATAATATTAAAGCTTTCAATATGTAAGTACATTTTCATACATGTAAGCCGTTATGCTATATGTTTGACTGAAGATCAGGAGAAGTTGGCGGCTAATTGTTTAATCAAAGAAAGTGATCGGATTGTCGAGACATATAAGATGCGCATTGGCTCTTCCATGTGCGCATGAGATTGACCGAGCAGGTGATGGACCTTTTTAACCAATGTTCATCGCTCATCACTGGCGGTTGTACTATATTCCCTTAGACGAAAAGACGGAGGTACGTTGCAAGAAGGTAAAAACCGTAGTGAATATATTGAAGGTCCTTAGTTCACTACCCTTAGCTAAGTCTAAGCCTTAATGTAACGACATCCTGTGATCTCATCATGTAAAAGCGATTTATAACCTTCTTCCGTAACCAACGCCATGAAACACCCTGAAGCAGAAATCATCACCATGAAACGACTGCATGAAGAGGCGTAATCTAAACACTCCCACTCGCCGCTACTGTGTGTCGGTCTTGGAATCTGGCTTGGTCTTGATCCCGGTTGCCTCGCACATAAATTTTAGTATGTTGGATCCGAGTGCCTTTGTAAGCATATCCACAAGTTAATTTTTCGTGTCGATGTAGTCGATCTTCAAAATTCCGTCTTGCACATCATCACGAATGAGGTGATGTCTAACATCCACATGCTTTGTCCGAGCGTGGTATCCGGCATTGTTGGACAAAGCAATCGCTCCTTATTTATCTTCCCAAACTTGTGTGCCTCCCACTTGTTCGTGACCCATGTCTTTTAGCATCGCACGCGTCCAAAGAACTTCTTGGGTGCTAAGCCTGAGCGCCATGTATTCAGCTTCCGTCAAGCTGAGCGCAACCGTTCGCTGGTACTTCGACTTGAATACCACTGGTGCGCATGCAATCATGACCATAACTCCTGAGACCGAACGTTAATCATCGTTGTTGCTACCTTAATCAGCATAGGAGTACGCCTTTACCCCAACACTCCCAGTGCCTTGTTAGACGATACCTGGTGTGTGGTCTTCATATATCTTAAATCGCGAATAGCTGCTATCCAATGTTTTTATCCAGGTTTCTCCAGAAAATTTGATAGTTGTGTCACCACGAAGCAATATCCGGCCTAGTACATGTTGTAATGTATAGTAGGCATCCGATCAAGGAGTGATACGGCTTCGAGCGCATCGCGAAACGTCCTTTTTCATCAATCCTAGAACGCTTCGGAGTCGGTGGTCCATCACTTCGTTTTGTTGATTCTTTCTCATTATTTGAGCCATTTCTAAGCGACAACATCGGCTCACGTCTTCCTCTTGTTCGCTCCACTTCAGGTCGGAACACTAAACGATCTTCTTGTTGCATTTATGGCGGTGGATGAAACTTTGCTAGTTGCATCGTGTCTTCAAAATGGCAATCGGGAGACATCAAATGCCGTGCACTGACGCTTGACGTAGAATTTACATCGTCCATCTCCACATCTGCGAACGGATCTTCAACAACTTCCATGGGTTCGTCCAGATCTGGCTGTCTATCTTCTTGATGCTGAATTTGTATTTCTTCACTGTCCTTCGTCACGTGAACGACCGCTTCCGTATTTAGCACTTGAGTGTCGTAAATGCCGCCCACTTCACGTTCATCCAACTGCATTGAACGCGTAACTTTGATCTTGGCATTTTCCAAGTCAAACACACGATAACCTTTGACCTTTTCTGCGTAGCCGAGGAGCATACACTTAAAACTCGTACGCGCCAACTTTGTTCTCTTCACATCATTTAAATGAGCGAAACCCTGCGACCCGAACACGTGCAAATGGTCCATTTGGGGTTTTATCGTATATTCCAACTCATACGGTGTCATGTCGAGGTGAGCCGTATTCGTGGAGCGATTAATCAAATTAACTGCTGCAATCACCGCTTCCGCCCACCATTCAGTTGAAACGTCTTTGTAGTTTAGCATGCTCCGAGCGTTCTCCATGATTGTCCTGTTCATCCGCTCTGCCACTCCGTTCTGCTGAGGGCTGTAAGAAACGGAACGCTGATGCACTATGCCGTTCTGTTGACATATGCCAGCCGTCGTCTTGTTGACAAACTCTGATCCGTTGTCGGAGCGCAAACACCTTAAACGAGCTCTCCATTGGTTTTCGAAAAACGTCTTGAAGTCCTTGAACATGCCAGTCACTTCACTCTTACTTTTGATCATAAAGACCGAAACATATCGTGAATAATCGTCTACAAACGTGAGAATGTATTTGGCACCACCCTTACAGAAATTTATCATTGTCCCCATGACGTCTGCGTGCACGCGCTCCAGTCCACGTGTCGTCTTCGTCATTGCATGTGATAAAAACGTCGCGACGGTCTGCTTTCCCCTCAAACACCTGAAGCACAGTGTTTCCGTGCCTAGCTTGATTGTCGGAATACCTTTAGTTGAGCGCTAAGTCTTCAGTAACGCGTCCTTGCTTGGGTGTCCCATGCGGGCATTCCAAAGCTTCCACTGACTGTCACCACCGGAATATTCCACAAGACAAGCTTCTCCTTGCTTATAGTCTAGCATATATGTTTTTCCGATTTTGGTAGCCGAGGCGATAGCTTGATCCTTGTTCCAGATGACATGAGACGAACGTGAGAACTCCACATTCATGCCACGTTCTGCAAGCTTGCCGACTAAAAGTAATCTTCTATCGAGTCCTGGGATGTACAAGACTCAAACATGCGAATGCCTTTTCCATCCAAATCGGTGATCTCAACCGTACCGGCTCCTTTGACAATCAACATCATGCCGTCTGCAATCGTCACTTCGACATTTGTCTTAAGGCCCTTGTATTCGAACAAGTCCTTTCTGTGTGGGGTCATGTGGGAGGTTGAACCACTGTCGATCAGCCATCCGGATGATCTTCCTTCGCTTACTGCAAATACCGCATCATCGCCGCCGATTTTTTTCTCTGCCGTGCAGCTCCTCTTCATTTGACCAAACTTGTCATAGTTAAAACACTTACCCTTAAATTTGCCGTGATTGCGTTGAGCGCCACCTTTCCGACCGTTGACCCGTCCACCTTTGAATCTTCCAGGGGTCCCATTTACGCGGAATGCTTTCTCCAAAGCCTCCTTCCTTTGTAACTTTTCTGACTCCTTGAGAAGCTTCTCCTTGACTTCAATCAGCGTAATGTCCTTCGCATTTTAAACAATCGACGAAATTAGTTCGTATTCAGAAGGCAGACTGCTGAGAAGTACCATCAGCTGGCGCGACTCATCCACCAGTTCTTTCGTAGTCTGGAGTCACACTGCCAGCTCGTCGAAAGAATCTACATGTTCCGCCATGCTTGTCCCACTCTCCATTTTAAAGTCGTGAATATTACATCGTCACATGATTGTGAAGCGTCGAGCAGTTGTAGATATCGCGGAGCGTTCTCCATGCCTCTATAGCGCGCGTAGCCGATCGAATCTTGGTTTGGTGCTGGACCTCAACCCCTTGAGCGATGACGCCTAGCGCCTTGGCGTCGTTTATCAGCCATGCTTCTGTTACGTCACTCTCATCCTTGAATGCCATGACATGCCGTAGGAGATTCTTCCTTGCCAGGGTCATCCTCATGTTATACTCCCAGTGGTAATAGTTACCACTTCTTAAAAGGACTTCGGTTTGCTTGTTCGCCATAGTAGGCGAGGACGTGGTTTGGAAGGAAGACTTGGTTGCGGCTGTTAACCTGTTGCAAAAAAGGTAAAAACCGAAGTGAATATATTTAAGGTCCTTAGTTCACTACCCTTAGCTAAGTCTAAGCCTTAATGTAACGACATCCTGTGATCTCATCATGTAAACGCGATCCATAACCTTCTTCCGTAACCAACACCATAAAACACCCTGAAACAAAAATTATCACCATGAACTCAACATGAAACTACTGCATGAAGCGGCGTAATCTCAACAAGGTAGATAATAAGCCGGTTGAGACTAACAAAATCTTTGTATAGCATTTGGAGAACCTTTTAGATGTTGATGTAAAATGACCACCCGCTGAATAGGGAATTGTCTTAGTGCGAATCATAGAGCTCACTTCAGGGAAGATGCCTTCGAATTCAAATCAATTGGTAATTAAGCCGAATGGGTACCGCCTAGTGCCAGAAACAGATCATCGAGTCTTACCAAGCATAATTTATCAGCATTTGATTATGCAAAGAAGAAACATTTTTGTGATTATTGCGGTCTGAGACAAGATAATCACAACAGGCGTGCCGGTCCAATGCAAAAAGACCAAAAACGTGGCTTTCTTGGCGCAATCCATAATCAGGGTGACCGACGTACCTGCAGATGACCACTACGAATTTCAGGCCATCGCAATTCATCTGAACGGCAGATAAGACATATAAACCCCACGTTTCAATGCTATTTATAAGAGAATACCTACTCTAAATCATTGAGCGACGAAGAACTGTATTGGAATAAGCATTTGTTCGCGACAATGATGGTCTTGAGAATAGTTCATGCTGGATGAAACTGTGAAAGAAAATCAGTTTTTCGAATTAAGTGTTTCTAAGATCAAGAGTGCGCACTTTTGGCAGCAACTATTATCTTGGCCAATCGTAATTCTGATTGATGAGGACATGTGTCAACCTAATTGCCATACATCACCTAGTTCGGCGGATTTTAGATGTCATTGTTGCACGTAAAGGAAATCAATGGCAAGATGTTATGCTTTCAGCCGATAGTCCATACCATTTGGTATCTGTCCTTTGAGTCAATCCTTAGTGTTCCAAAGGTTCGCAACCTTGACTATTAGCAGATACAGGATAGGCTCCAACGATACGCATTTTATATTATAATACAAGTTCACTTTTTAAAGATAATTGGTGTTGGGGTCAGTGAAGGAAATATGTATGCTATCACGACTAGTGAATTACGTACATCGATCGCATACCTTTTTTTTTTACTAACTGAAACACGACGCCTGCGCATCACTTTGAAAATCTCGTAATCGAAAGCATACTGATTATGACATCAAGACGTTGGTGGCAGACACACATGTAGTAAGCATCAACATAAAGGGCTTAGTTAATTATGAGGTCTTCAAGTAATAGTGTAGGGACGAAAACTGTAGTCAATTATGAACGAAAGAGTACACTTTTCAACACACAATGCTACTCGCTAGACCTTAATCTTACAGCCACACACACCGCCTCTGAAATTAATCGTCCCGAAACGGCGAATACACGCCGTGCTTGCTTGAAGCAGCACACCTATATTCAAGCCATCAGCACAGTAGCTGAATCGGGTCGCGCCGTGTGAAATAACCTATATGGTAGCAACATTACAAACCGCATTACACAATATAAGGCTGCAAATACCTGCTGAAGCTGTCTTGGAGTGGTGGATTAAGAATGGTTACGAATACACATATTGATGGACTCGACAACAATATCCACATAGAAAATGAAGAATAAAAGCTTGAGATCCAGCGTGCGTTGCACCGACAGCTTTTCAGCCAGATATAGAAATTTCAACGCAGATCTTCGCCCAAACATTTGTACGCCGACCCAACAGGCGAATGACCACTAGAACTGGCCAAAAGCTGATTGACTTCTTTTCAAGGATCCTGAAATCACACACCGAGGCAAATTTAGGTCCTTTTGCATACACACCTACTTCACTTTAGTCAATACCGACTTGTGGGAGCCATGCTTACCTCTTGAGTGTGTTATTAATCGGCTATTTGATTGAACGCATCATTTTTAGATTTCTCATATCCTGTCATGCGATCAGTCGGCTCCTAAAAAAGACAATTTGTTAGTTTCATCATGCAGATACTGGCGTTCCGCCTGTTTTACACTGTAGATTTACATATTTCACCAAACGGTTTATAATAGGGTTTAACCTTCATTTACAGAAGACGATTACGATCAGTACAAGATATATGTAGTCCTTTTGAAATAGCAAAGCCGTATGTGATTGTCAGTTCTCTTAACACGACAAAGCACCTTGCTACTTTTGGCTAAAAGCGTGTCATGGTCATATCAAATGTCTTTAGCGACTGCAAAAATCTTTGGGTCAATTGTTGAGTGTATAAAAGGTCATCGGTGAAAACACTTATCATTCAAACGAACAGTATGTATAGATCTATGGGAGTAGTCGTACCGAGGTATAATGATGCAATATCGGTCACGATGGTATAATGGTGTGATAATGGTGTGGTGCGTGGCTTGTATTAGTAAAAAATGGGGTGTACTAAACAATGAAATTCGATAACTACTAGTATGTTGTCACACGTTCACTCTTTATATAAAACCACGTGCGTCAACGCTTACGCATCCTTCTAGATTTGTCTTTTATGACACTAGTAGATACACGTAGCGATAGAAGGTAGATACGGGTGAGGTACTCTGACGGATTGGTGATGTTGTATTTTAATTTTTGTGCTCGTGTTCAGCCGCGGAATCTTTAAATGAAGTTTGTTAGTTGAGCAAAAAGCCGGCAACTGAGCGATACAAAACAACATTGAGTGGCTACGGTATCATGCCAACCTAGCAAGTGAACTCGATTCAAGAGATCTTACGCGTGCAATCCCTTTAAAAAGGAGTAGACTGAACCCTCCGTCGCCATTTTATTTTTATGTGCCAAAAGCAATGACGACAACACTGCCCTGAAAGCTTTACTAAGTGCTGAGTTGACTCAACAATGAGTCATAATTGACTTGAAAGCTGCGTCTACAGCGATTCAGTACCCTGTTTTACCGTCAAAGCATCGTTTAATGGATGATTGTCGATGCAGAACAGAACAACGAGGCCAAGATTGCGTTGCGCACGAGCCGTAATTTCCCCAATTTATTTTGAAGGGATCAGTAATCTACTTTAATGAAGGCATCTCGTTGGTAAAGGATAGAGACACGATCACCGCCAGTTTGTCGATTTTGTCTCAAAAGTGGTACAATCAGGGCGAATAATTGCTTATGTCAAGGTGGCCCTTGCCGTCGTGTGCAGATGAAGGTAATGGATGTTTGGGGTCGTAAACGCCAGCCTTGGGTCACCTGGATTTATGCGAAATTGGTGGTCGAGTTTGGCCGACTTTGCAAAGCTGGGTTGAGGTTTTGTCCAATCGTGTTGCAAATTTTGGCCAAACTATTCTGAGGACGCCTCGTGGTAATTTTCATTCAGACTTTCGTGATTTGCTTAATGGAACTACGTTCGACAATCGCATCACACCAAGATGTATTAAATCTTACGAAGATTAATACAAAATTGTTATTTGCACCCGGACTGGTAAACCTATGACAAGCTTAGCCACTCAGCTTCAAAATTTATTAGAAGTTTTTACCATTTTGGCCATGATGCACGTAAATCTATGAAATTTTGAAATGTATGAGGCTTTTGTACAGATTCTCGAAGATAAATATTCTATCGTCAAAGTTCATAGTGGTAAGACTCTGGGTTTTGCGGCGACAAAACCTTAAGAATTAGATTGTTAATTCAGGTGGTGTTGGAATGACTTTGATGGATCGAATTTGTGGTAAGCATTTCTATAACATGAGACAGCGTTAATAAATTTATAAAAAAGGCCTATCGGGCCGGAATTAAACGGTGTACGGACAAGCAAGTTATGGTCCAGTATCTCAAAGAGCTTCAGGTAATTGATCCAGATAGTGGTGCTATGCAGTGGGTCCTATTCATGGATAACTGTGGTGGCCACAACGAGAGTCCATTACAACAATATGCTTGACAAAATCTCAACGCAGTAATTTGAAAGCTCCCCGAGAATCCAACACATTTGCGCCAGCCTTGTGAATCACGAACCGACAAAATATTAAGCAGGTGTAGTGGAGAAGTATGAGCTAAAAAAGTTTGTTCGATTGTGCTCGGTATAGGTGGTC